TGATTTGAAACTTAACATTCATGTTTAATGGCCACACACTGAAACCCAGGGAACACATACTTACCAAACACATAGAAGATGGATTGCCAGCCCCCTGAACTCGCAGCAAGGGAGCCACATGCAGGCATCGCCAACACAGTCCCAAAGTAGGCACCTGCACAAACAACAGACCAATGTATAGATACTGAACTCGCAGCAAGGGAGCCACACACACAGGCATCGCCAACACAGTCCCAAAGTAGGCACCTGCACAACAACAGACCCATGTATAGATACTAAACTCGCAGCAAGGGAGCCACACACACAGGCATCGCCAACACAGTCCCCAAGTAGACACCCACACAACAACAGACCCATGTATAGATACTGAAATCGCAGCAAGGGAGCCACACACACAGGCATCGCCAACACAGTCCCCAAGTAGACACCCAACCAAGAACAGACACATTTATAGATACTGAAATCGCAGCAAGGGAGCCACACACACAGGCATCGCCAACACAGTCCCCAAGTAAGCACCCACACAAGAACAGACACATTTATAGATACTGAACTCGCAGCAAGGGGGCCACACACACAGGCATTGTCAACACAGTCCCCAAGTAGACACCCACACAACAACAGACACATGTATAGATACTGAACTCGCAGCAAGGGGGCCACACACAGGCATCGTCAACACAGTCCCCAAGTAGGCAGCTGCACAACAACAGACACATGTATAGATACTAAACTCACAGCAAGGGAGCCACACACACAGGCATCGCCAACACAGTCCCCAAGTAGGCAGCTGCACAACAACAGACACATGTATAGATACTGAACTCGCAGCAAGGGGGCCACACACAGGCATCGTCAACACAGTCCCCAAGTAGGCAGCTGCACAACAACAGACACATGTATAGATACTGAACTCACAGCAAGGGAGTCACACACACAGGCATCGCCAACACAGTCCCCAAGTAAGCACCCACACAAGAACAGACACATTTATAGATACTGAACTCGCAGCAAGGGGGCCACACACAGGCATTGTCAACACAGTCCCCAAGTAGACACCCACACAACAACAGACACATTTATAGATACTGAACTCGCAGCAAGGGGGCCACACACAGGCATTGTCAACACAGTCCCCAAGTAGACACCTGCACAACAACAGACTCATCTATGGACACTGAACTCGCAGCAAGGGAGCCACACACACAGGCATCGCCAATACAGTTCCCAAGTAGGCACTTGCACAACAACAGACCCATGTATAGATACTGAACTCGCAGCAAGGGAGCCACACACACAGGCATCGCCAATACAGTCCCCAAGTAAGCACCCACACAACAACAGACACATGTATAGATACTGAACTCGCAGCAAGGGGGCCACACACAGGCATTGTCAACACAGTCCCCAAGTAGACACCCACACAACAACAGACCCATGTATAGATACTGAACTCACAGCAAGGGAGACACACACACAGGCATCGCCAACACAGTCCCCAAGTAAGCACCCACACAAGAACAGACACATTTATAGATACTGAACTCGCAGCAAGGGGGCCACACACAGGCATTGTCAACACAGTCCCCAAGTAGACACCCACACAACAACAGACACATGTATAGATACTGAACTCGCAGCAAGGGGGCCACACACAGGCATTGTCAACACAGTCCCCAAGTAGACACCTGCACAACAACAGACCCATCTATGGACACTGAACTCGCAGCAAGGGAGCCACACACACAGGCATCGCCAATACAGTTCCCAAGTAGGCACTTGCACAACAACAGACCCATGTATAGATACTGAACTCGCAGCAAGGGAGCCACACACACAGGCATCGCCAATACAGTTCCCAGGTAGACACCAACACAACAACAGACACATGTATAGATACTGAACTCGCAGCAAGGGAGCCACACACACAGGCATCGCCAACACAGTCCCCAAGTAGGCACTTGCACAACAACAGACCCATGTATAGATACTAAACTCACAGCAAGGGAGCCACACACAGGCATCGCCAACACAGTCCCCAAGTAGACACCCACACAACAACAGACCCATGTATAGATACTGAACTCGCAGCAAGGGGGCCACACACAGGCATTGTCAACACAGTCCCCAAGTAGACACCTGCACAACAACAGACCCATCTATGGACACTGAACTCGCAGCAAGGGAGCCACACACACAGGCATCGCCAACAGTCCCTAAGTAGGCAGCTGTACAACAACAGACACATGCATAGATACTGAACTCACAGCAAGGGAGCCACACATGCAGACATCACCAACACAGTCCCCAAGTAGACACCCACACAACAACAGACCAATGTAAAGATACTGAACTCGCAGCAAGGGAGCCACACACAGGCATCGTCAACACAGTCCCCAAGTAGACACCCACACAACAACAGACCCATGTATAGATACTGAACTCGCAGCAAGGGGGCCACACACAGGCATCGCCAACACAGTCCCCAAGTAGGCAGCTGCACAACAACAGACACATGTATAGATACTGAACTCGCAGCAAGGGGGCCACACACAGGCATCGCCAACACAGTCCCAAAGTAGACACCCAACCAACAACAGACACATGTATAGATACTGAAATCACAGCAAGGGAGCCACACACACAGGCATCGTCAACACAGTCCCCAAGTAGACACCCAACCAACAACAGACACATGTATAGATACTGAAATCACAGCAAGGGAGCCACACACACAGGCATCGTCAACACAGTCCCCAAGTAGACACCCAACCAACAACAGACACATGTATAGATACTGAAATCACAGCAAGGGAGCCACACACAGGCATCGTCAACACAGTCCCCAAGTAGGCAGCTGCACAACAACAGACCCATCTATAGACACTGATCTCGCAGCAACTGAGCCACACACAGGCATCGTCAACACAGTCCCCAAGTAGGCAGCTGCACAACAACAGACCCATTTATAGACACTGATCTCGCAGCAACTGAGCCACACACAGGCATCGTCAACACAGTCCCCAAGTAGGCAGCTGCACAACAACAGACCCATCTATAGACACTGATCTCGCAGCAACTGAGCCACACACAGGCATCGTCAACACAGTCCCCAAGTAGGCACTTGCACAACAACAGACACATCTATAGATACTAAACTCACAGCAAGGGAGCCACACAGGCAGGCATCGCCAACAGTCCCTAAGTAGGCACCTGCACAACATCAGACACATGTGTAGATACTAAACTCGCAGCAAGGGAGCCACACACGCAGGCATCGCCAACACAGTCCCCAAGTAGGCACCCACACAAGAACAGACACATTTATGGACACTAAACTCGCAGCAAGGGAGCCACACACAGGTATCGTCAACAGTCTCCAAGTAGGCAGCTGCACAACAGACACATCTATAGATACTGAACTCGCAGCAAGGGAGCCACACATGCAGACATCACCAACAGTCCCTAAGTAGGCACCTGCACAACAACAGACACATGTATAGATACTGAACTCGCAGCAAGGGAACCACACACACAGGCATCACCAACACAGTCCCCAGGTAGACACCCACACAACAGCCACATGTAAAGATGCTGGAACACTAGATATTTGTAAACCTACCTGAGAAGGCAAATGTGGCCAGTTTGGTCTTTTCCTGGGGTGGAGCCCACTTGGACCACATTGCATGGATGGCTGGGTACGTCACCCCCTGGAACAAGACAGTGAGTGATTGGTTCAAAACATCTTCGGCGCAACAGATAGTGTAAATTCACATATTTGAGTGAGTGAATAGGCCTGTTATCATCCTTCAGCAGTGTTGTATTGGAAGGTGAACAAACAAGTGTCCTGTGCCCAGGCAGCCACTTTTGATCTGCTATCTGAGACTGCTCGCTAAGTTTTCTGTTGGTGTGTTTGTTGTTTAACGTCTCACTCAGCAATATTCCAGCTATAACAGCAGCCCATGAATAATAAACAATCTGGATCAGACTAATAAGTGACTGATAAGTGAACGATGCACACAAACTATTGCCATCACAGACAGAAGGACCATGACCAATCCCCTTTTTACACACCTCAAACAGTCCCTCGATGACCTGACAGCGATGAGGAGATACCCACCTCAAACAGTCCCTCCCTCGATGACCCTGACAGCGATGAGGAGATACCCACCTCAAACAGTCCCTCGATGACCTGACAGCGATGAGGAGATACCCACTTTAAACAGTCCCTCCCTCAATGACCCTGACAGCAATGAGGAGATACCCACCTCAAACAGTCCCTCCCTTGGTGACTCTGACAGCGATGAGGAGATACCCACCTCAAACAGTCCCTCGATGACCCTGAGAGCGATGAGGAGATACCCACCTCAAACAGTCCCTCCCTCGATGACCCTGACAGCGATGAGGAGATACCCACCTCAAACAGTCCCTCCCTCAATGACCCTGAGAGCGATGAGGAGATACCCACCTCAAACAGTCCCTCGATGACCCTGAGAGCGATGAGGAGATACCCACCTCAAACAGTCCCTCCATCAATGACCCTGAGAGCGATGAGGAGATACCCACCTCAAACAGTCCCTCGATGACCCTGAGAGCGATGAGGAGATACCCACCTCAAACAGTCCCTCGATGACCCTGACAGCGATGAGGAGATACCCACCTCAAACAGTCCCTCGATGACCTGACAGCGATGAGGAGATACCCACTTTAAACAGTCCCTCCCTTGATGACTCTGACAGCGATGAGGAGATACCCACCTCAAACAGTCCCTCCCTCAATGACCCTGACAGCGATGAGGAGATACCCACCTCAAACAGTCCCTCGATGACCCTGACAGCGATGAGGAGATACCCACCTCAAACAGTCCCTCGATGACCCTGACAGTGATGAGGAGATACCCACCTCAAACAGTCCCTCGATGACCCTGACAGAGATGAGGAGATACCCACCTCAAACAGGTCCTCCCTCGATGACCCTGACAGTGATGAGGAGATACCCACCTCAAACAGTCCCTCGATGACCCTGACAGAGATGAGGAGATACCCACCTCAAACAGTCCCTCGATGACCCTGACAGTGATGAGGAGATACCCACCTCAAACAGTCCCTCGATGACCCTGACAGAGATGAGGAGATACCCACCTCAAACAGGTCCTCCCTCGATGACCCTGACAGTGATGAGGAGATACCCACCTCAAACAGTCCCTCGATGACTCTGACAGAGATGAGGAGATACCCACCTCAAACAGGTCCTCCCTCGATGACCCTGACAGTGATGAGGAGATACCCACCTCAAACAGTCCCTCGATGACTCTGACAGAGATGAGGAGATACCCACCTCAAACAGGTCCTCCCTCGATGACCCTGACAGTGATGAGGAGATACCCACCTCAAACAGTCCCTCCCTCAATGACCCTGACAGCGATGAGGAGATACCCACCTCAAACAGTCCCTCCCTCAATGACCCTGACAGCGATGAGGAGATACCCACCTCAAACAGTCCCTCGATTACCCTGACAGCTATGAGGAGATACCCACCTCAAACAGTCCCTCCCTCAATGACCCTGACAGCGATGAGGAGATACCCACCTCAAACAGTCCCTCGATGACCCTGACAGCGATGAGGAGATACCCACCTCAAACAGTCCCTCGATGACCCTGACAGAGATGAGGAGATACCCACCTCAAACAGGTCCTCCCTCGATGACCCTGACAGTGATGAGGAGATACCCACCTCAAACAGTCCCTCGATGACTCTGACAGAGATGAGGAGATACCCACCTCAAACAGGTCCTCCCTCGATGACCCTGACAGTGATGAGGAGATACCCACCTCAAACAGTCCCTCGATGACTCTGACAGAGATGAGGAGATACCCACCTCAAACAGGTCCTCCCTCGATGACCCTGACAGTGATGAGGAGATACCCACCTCAAACAGTCCCTCCCTCAATGACCCTGACAGCGATGAGGAGATACCCACCTCAAACAGTCCCTCGATTACCCTGACAGCTATGAGGAGATACCCACCTCAAACAGTCCCTCCCTCAATGACCCTGACAGCGATGAGGAGATACCCACCTCAAACAGTCCCTCGATGACCCTGACAGCGATGAGGAGATACACACTCCAGGTGGCGAACACCGGCGTAAGAATGGTGAGGACGGCTGTGACAAAGATTCCTCCTCCAAACAGATACTTCCCTCCATACCTCGTGGCCAGGAACCCTGGGAATTCCATCATCAGAGGTTGATGCTTATTTTATATACTGATCCTGCATTACATATTGCACCATGCCCCCAAATCATTCTTCTCTCCTTCGCTAACTTAGCAGCACTGTACCATCAGCCCTGAGGAACGTTCGAAGGCAGTAATGACATATTTGGCGCGTGTATTCCGACACCGACACTGAAGACGCTGACAGATTGTCATTCATTTCCAGTAAGGACTTTGGTGGTAAGTGTAAGTGAGTGAGCAATATCACGACAGGGGAACACCAGAAATGGGCTTCACACATTGTACCCATGTGGGGAATCGAACCCAGGTCTTTGGCGTGACGGGCGAACACTTTAACCACTAGGCTACCTCACAGCCCCTGGTGGTCAGACCATTGTGCCTTATGTAATGCAGGATAAGTAAAATATACACATTTAACTGCATAGATATTGGTGTTTGTGTTCATGCATGACATTGTGACTCGTAGTGTGCATTCTGAAGTGAGTGAGGATTAAAAAAAAATGTTACAGCTTTTTCGCAATGATATAATTAACACATATCAAAATTTACATCCCCAAAGACCCATGATCACTGACTCACAACCACCGCCTCACGACAACCGCTTCATCCAAACCAAATCAAACCAACCAACTCACCCCAACTGACTCACCCATCCACTCACAAACATCAATTCACAACCACAACCTCATCCAAACCGACTCACCCCCACCGCCTCACGACCACCGCCTCATGACCACCGCCTCACGACCACCGCCTCAGCCCCACCGGCCCACAACCACTCCTCATGACCACCACCTCTTCCAAACCGACTCACCCCCACCGCCTCAGAACCACCACCTCATGACCACCGCCTCACGACCACCGCCTCACGACCACCGCCTCACGACCACCGCCTCACAACCACCCCTCACGACCACCGCCTCACGACCACCGCCTCACGACCACCGCCTCACGACCACCGCCTCACGACTACCGCCTCAGCCCCACCGGCCCACAACCACTCCTCATGACCACCCCTCATGACCACCGGCTCATGACCACCGGCTCACAACCACTCCTCATGACCACCGCCTCATGACCACCGGCTCATGACCACCGGCTCACAACCACTCCTCATGACCACCGCCTCATGACCACCCCTCATGACCACCCCTCATGACCACCGCCTCATGACCACCCCTCATGACCATCCCTCATGACCACCGCCTCATGACCACCCCTCATGACCACCTCTCATGACCACCGCCTCATGACCACCCCTCATGACCACCACCTCATGACCACCGCCTCATGACCACCTGCTCACAACCACTCCTCATGACCACCGCCTCATGACCACCGCCTCATGACCACCGGCTCATGACCACCGGCTCACAACCACTCCTCATGACCACCGCCTCATGACCACCGGCTCACAACCACTCCTCATGACCACCGCCTCATGACCACCGGCTCACAACCACTCCTCATGACCACCCCTCATGACCACCCCTCATGACCACCGCCTCATGACCACCCCTCATGACCACCCCTCATGACCACCGCCTCATGACCACCCCTCATGACCACCACCTCATGACCACCGCCTCATGACCATCTGCTCACAACCACTCCTCATGACCACCGCCTCATGACCACCGCCTCATGACCACCGGCTCATGACCACCGGCTCACAACCACTCCTCATGACCACCGCCTCATGACCACCTTCTCACAACCACTCCTCATGACCACCGCCTCATGACCACCGGCTCACAACCACTCCTCATGACCACCGCCTCATGACCACCGGCTCACAACCACTCCTCATGACCACCCCTCATTACGACCATCTCACCCCCACCGCCTCACCCCCACAGAATCACCCCCACCCCTCATGACCACCCCACCCCCCCAGTCTCACCCCCATCGACTCACAACCACCCTTCATGACCACCGCCTCACCCCCACCGCCTCACGACCACCGACTCACAACCACCTCTCATGACGACCACCTCACCCCACCGCCTCACCCAACAGTCTCACCCCCACCGCCTCGCGACCACCAACTCACCTCCAGGCAACTGGGTTAAGATGTATCCGTAGAAGAAGGAGGCCAGCACTGCTCCCTGGAGGTTGTTGTCCCAGTCAAAGTCAGCCGGCGACTCCTGGAGTTTGGAGAGGACTTAGCTGCATATCAACACCTACTTCCTCAACCCAAGGCTTGCTTTCAACAATACCTCCCTTTTTTAATTACAATCTACACAGTTTTTTCAGAAGAAGGAGCAGCATTCACATGCATTGCCCTGTGGGGATTCCTGGTTAGAACTTCTCATCAGTACCCCATATAAGGCAACGTATTAGATCAAGTGTCAGACCGGGTGACTAAATCAATGTATGCTAGTACCCTAATGGGTTTGAATGTAGCTCACAATAGTGAGTGAGTTGGGTTTAACGCCGCTTTTAACAGTATTATAGTTATATCACAGCGTGTCCGTTTAATGTGGGAGGAAAGCCCAAAGTGATGCAGGTCTCAGACGTTTACCACTTCGGTGAAACCCACGAGCATGGGTATGGTGCTGACAAACCTATAACCATAATCGAGCCGAACCGGGATTCAAACCAACAATCATAGGCTTCTGGCGTGCCCAAGGGACGCAACTCTGCACAGCCAATCATGGCGCCTTAGACGACTGGACCACCCTTCCCGCCGTTGCACATAATAAGAATTGTTTGCTTGTTGTTCAACGCCACAGCAATCTTCTAGCAATATGAAGCTGCCCATCAATAATCAATCTGGTTCCAGACTATCCAGTGATTGATATTGTGAGCAACAATCCACTTCTTTGGTTGACGATGACACGCAAATCCAGCAGGTCACTAAGTCTGACCACCTAATCCATTGGCTGCTGCGGAACTTTTCTAACCTGGCATCCCCACGGGGATCAGTTTGTCTGTTTGTTGATTAGTTTCAAAAAGATAACAGTTTGCGAGTGCTACATCACAGATATAACTTGTTTTGTGTTCCAGCTACTCTCATATTCTATTTTGTTCTAAAAATTATTTACTTTTACCAGTTCTTCTCAATAAATAATTCTGATGTGTTATATCACGGACAAACAAAACATGTACATAGTCCACAAATTGAAGCATCAAGCTGCTAAACTCACCACGGAGGTGGTCTACACTAAGTCTACACTATATCTACACTAAGCATCAAGCCGTTCAACTAACCACGGAGGCAGCCAAAACTTAGTGTCAAGCAGTTCAACTAACCATGGAGGAAGTCAAAACTTAGTATCAAGCCGTTCAACTCACCATGGAGGAAGTCAAAACTTAGTATCAAGCTGTTCAACTCACCATGGAGGAGCTCTGCATTAAGCATCAAGCTGTTCAACTCACCATGAATGCGGTCTACACTAAGTCTACACTAAGCAACAAGCCGTTCAACTCACCATGGAGACAGTCTAGACTAAGCATCATGCCGTTCAACTCACCATGAAGGCCGTCTACACTAAATCTACACTGAGCCTACACAGAGCATCAAGCTGTTCAACTCACTACGGAGGAGCTCTACATTAAGTCTACACTAAGTATCAAAACGTTCAACTCACCACAGAGGCAGTCGACACTAAGTATCAAGCCGTTCTTCAACTCACCACAGAGGCGGTCTAAACTAAGTCTACACTAAGCATCAAGCCGTTCAACTCACCAAGGATACAGTCCAAACTAAGTCTACACTAAGCAACAAGCCGTTCAACTCACCACGGAGGCGGTCTACACTAAGTCTACACTAAGCATCAAGCTGTTCAACTCACCACGGGGACAGTCTACCAAAAGTCTACACTATGTCTACACTAAGCATCAAGCTGTTCAACTCACCACGGGGACGGTCTACACTAAGTCTACACTAAGTCTACACTAAGCATCAAGCTGTTCAACTCACCACGGGGACGGTCTACACTAAGCATCAAGCTGTTCAACTCACCACTGGGACGGTCTACACTAAGTCTACACTAAGTCTCCACTAAGCATCAAGCCGTTCAACACACCACGGGGACGGTCTACACTAAGTCTACACTAAGTCTACACTAAGCATCAAGCTGTTCAACTCACCACGGGGATGGTCTACACTAAGTCTACACTAAGCATCAAAACGTTCAACTCACCACAGAGGCAGTCGACACTAAGTATCAAGCCGTTCTTCAACTCACCACAGAGGCGGTCTAAACTAAGTCTACACTAAGCATCAAGCCGTTCAACTCACCAAGGATACAGTCCAAACTAAGTCTACACTAAGCAACAAGCCGTTCAACTCACCACGGAGGCGGTCTACACTAAGTCTACACTAAGCATCAAGCTGTTCAACTCACCACGGGGACAGTCTACCAAAAGTCTACACTATGTCTACACTAAGCATCAAGCTGTTCAACTCACCACGGGACGGTCTACACTAAGTCTACACTAAGCATCAAGCTGTTCAACTCACCACGGGGACGGTCTACACTAAGTCTACACTAAGCATCAAGCCGTTCAACTCACCACGGGGACGGTCTACACTAAGCATCAAGCCGTTCAACTCACCACGGGGACGGTCTACACTAAGTCTACACTAAGTCTACACTAAGCATCAAGCCGTTCAACTCACCACGGGGACGGTCTACACTAAGCATCAAGCCGTTCAACTCACCACGGGGACGGTCTACACTAAGTCTACACTAAGTCTACACTAAGTCTACACTAAGCATCAAGCTGTTCAACTCATCACGGGGATGGTCTACACTAAGTCTACACTAAGTCTACACTAAGCATCAAGCTGTTCAACTCACCACGGGGACGGTCTACACTAAGTCTACACTAAGTCTACACTAAGCATCAAGCTGTTCAACTCACCACGGAGGCGGTCTACACTAAGTCTACACTAAGTCTACACTAAGCATCAAGCCGTTCAACTCACCACGGGGACGGTCTACACTAAGTCTACACTATGTCTACACTAAGCATCAAGCCGTTCAACTCACCACGGGGACGGTCTACACTAAGTCTACACTATGTCTACACTAAGCATCAAGCTGTTCAACTCACTACGGAGGAGCTCTACATTAAGTCTACACTAAGTATCAAAACGTTCAACTCACCACAGAGGCAGTCGACACTAAGTATCAAGCCGTTCTTCAACTCACCACAGAGGCGGTCTAAACTAAGTCTACACTAAGCATCAAGCCGTTCAACTCACCAAGGATACAGTCCAAACTAAGTCTACACTAAGCAACAAGCCGTTCAACTCACCACGGAGGCGGTCTACACTAAGTCTACACTAAGCATCAAGCTGTTCAACTCACCACGGGGACAGTCTACCAAAAGTCTACACTATGTCTACACTAAGCATCAAGCTGTTCAACTCACCACGGGGACGGTCTACACTAAGTCTACACTAAGTCTACACTAAGCATCAAGCTGTTCAACTCACCACGGGGACGGTCTACACTAAGCATCAAGCTGTTCAACTCACCACTGGGACGGTCTACACTAAGTCTACACTAAGTCTCCACTAAGCATCAAGCCGTTCAACACACCACGGGGACGGTCTACACTAAGTCTACACTAAGTCTACACTAAGCATCAAGCTGTTCAACTCACCACGGGGATGGTCTACACTAAGTCTACACTAAGCATCAAGCTGTTCAACTCACCACGGGGACGGTCTACACTAAGTCTACACTAAGTCTACACTAAGCATCAAGCTGTTCAACTCACCACGGAGGCGATCTACACTAGGTCTACACTAAGCATCAAGCTGTTCAACTCACCACCGGGACGGTCTACCCAAAGTCTACACTAAGTCTACACTAAGCATTAAGCCGTTCAACTCACCACGGGGACGGTCTACACTAAGCATCAAGCCGTTCAACTCACCACGGGGACGGTCTACACTAAGTCTACACTAAGTCTACACTAAGCATCAAGCCGTTCAACTCACCACGGGGACGGTCTACACTAAGTCTACACTATGTCTACACTAAGCATCAAGCTGTTCAACTCACCACGGGGACGGTCTACACTAAGTCTACACTAAGCATCAAGCTGTTCAACTCACCACGGGGACGGTCTACACTAAGTCTACACTTAGTCTACACTAAGCATCAAGCCGTTCAACTCACCACGGGGACGGTCTACACTAAGTCTACACTAAGTCTACACTAAGCATCAAGCTGTTCAACTCACCACAGTATCATTTCCATTCAGAAGAACTGTTCTGTTCTTGGTCATCGCAACAATGGCGACACTCAGATTCACTCTCAGGGCATAGACATTGCCTGAAACAACAGAAGACTCAACTCAGATATGGAGGACCCTTCAGCACTGGGCAGAGCTCCAGATAAGCTGCTTATTTGCATAAATTATGTATAACAAAATCAATTAATTTTGACTTGGTTGCACATAAATACACATAAAAGACATGAGAACTGTAATAATCACCCATTCTACCATGAATTTGGATTTTACTCAATTCTGATTAAATCACAATAAACCCCCACTGATTGAAACAGCTGGTTTGACTACCGCTTCACCGAGGAAGCTAATATTCATAGAATAGTACTATTTTCATTGTCGGTAGGCATATTTAAATAATTATATCTACAATTACAGGTTACAAAATGCACAGATGCGGTTACTTCAATATTCAAAGGATGTGTGGCAATACATTTCATGCAGAAAACATGATAGAAATCTACACAGGGAATGTATTTACGTTTATGAGACAACAGAAAGCTTGGAATTTTGGCGCTTTTCTGTATACGACTGTGACGTCATATCTTTTGCGTCACATTGAGCGATATGACTTCATAATGGTGACGTGCGAAAGCCTGGCAAAGCTTGGTTTTTTTACTTGAGGGATGCCCACCTCATGTTAGCTTACCAAGTTGCCGTGCTTAAATGCTTTCAATGCCTGTCATACGTTCGAGTGAAGTATTACGGTGTCAACAAACTGCTTGAGTATATACAGCGCCATATTTAGTTCGGTGATTCCGTAATTCAGATCGATAACCCACTCAAAACACTTGACTCAACCCATGCCACTTCACTCAGTATAAGTGCTTGCACCAAAGAGTTTGCGTTTTATTTAGTCATGGTAGAATGGAGATAAACATACTGTGTTTTCAATATAGAACTAGGTTACCTGTAGATTTAACCCCGCTAAATTTAACATTTGAAACCTCACGCTGCGCGTTTGGTTCCAAATTCAATTTAGCGGGGTTAAATCTACAGGTAACCTAGCTCTACATTGAAAACACAGCATGTTTATCTCCTAAATGAATCCTTTTCAACGTGCATACCTGTATTTCTTTACAAATGTTTATTTACTGATCATGTGCAGGCACCACACATGCTTGGACTCTACTGCAGGCACCACACATGCTTGGACTCTACTGCAGGCACCACACATGCTTGGACTCTACTGCAGGCACCACACATGCTTGGACTCTACTGCAGGCACCACACATGCTTGGACTCTACTGCAGGCACCACACATGCTTGGACTCTACTGCAGGCACCACACATGCTTGGACTCTACTGCAGGCACCACACATGCTTGGACTCTACTGCAGGCACCACACATGCTTGGACTCTACTGCAGGCACCACACATGCTTGGACTCTACTGCAGGCACCACACATGCTTGGACTCTACTGCAGGCACCACACATGCTTGGACTCTACTGCAGGCACCACACATGCTTGGACTCTACTGCAGGCACCACACATGCTTGGACTCTACTGCAGGCACCACACATGCTTGGACTCTACTGCAGGCACCACACATGCTTGGACTCTACTGCAGGCACCACACATGCTTGGACTCTACTGCAGGCACCACACATGCTTGGACTCTACTGCAGGCACCACACATGCTTGGACTCTACTGCAGGCACCACACATGCTTGGACTCTACTGCAGGCACCACACATGCTTGGACTCTACTGCAGGCACCACACATGCTTGGACTCTACTGCAGGCACCACACATGCTTGGACTCTACTGCAAGCACCACACATGCTTGGACTCTACTGCAGGCACCACACATGCTTGGACTCTACTGCAGGCACAACACATGCTTGGACTCTACTGCAGGCACCACACATGCTTGGACTCTACTGCAGGCACCACACATGCTTGGACTCTACTGCAGGCACCACACATGCTTGGACTCTACTGCAGGCACAACACATGCTTGGACTCTACTGCAGGCACCACACATGCTTGGACTCTACTGCAGGCACCACACATGCTTGGACTCTACTGCAGGCACCACACATGCTTGGACTCTACTGCAGGCACCACACATGCTTGGACTCTACTGCAGGCACCACACATGCTTGGACTCTACTGCAGGCACAACACATGCTTGGACTCTACTGCAGGCACCACACATGCTTGGACTCTACTGCAGGCACCACACATGCTTGGACTCTACTGCAGGCACCACACATGCTTGGACTCTACTGCAGGCACCACACATGCTTGGACTCTACTGCAGGCACCACACATGCTTGGACTCTACTGCAGGCACCACACATGCTTGGACTCTACTGCAGGCACCACACATGCTTGGACTCTACTGCAGGCACCACACATGCTTGGACTCTACTGCAGGCACCACACATGCTTGGACTCTACTGCAGGCACCACACATGCTTGGACTCTACTGCAGGCACCACACATGCTTGGACTCTACTGCAGGCACCACACATGCTTGGACTCTACTGCAGGCACCACACATGCTTGGACTCTACTGCAGGCACCACACATGCTTGGACTCTACTGCAGGCACCACACATGCTTGGACTCTACTGCAGGCACCACACATGCTTGGACTCTACTGCAGGCACCACACATGCTTGGACTCTACTGCAGGCACCACACATGCTTGGACTCTACTGCAGGCACCACACATGCTTGGACTCTACTGCAGGCACCACACATGCTTGGACTCTACTGCAGGCACCACACATGCTTGGACTCTACTGCAGGCACCACACATGCTTGGACTCTACTGCAGGCACCACACATGCTTGGACTCTACTGCAGGCACCACACATGCTTGGACTCTACTGCAGGCACCACACATGCTTGGACTCTACTGCAGGCACCACACATGCTTGGACTCTACTGCAGGCACCACACATGCTTGGACTCTACTGCAGGCACCACACATGCTTGGACTCTACTGCAGGCACCACACATGCTTGGACTCTACTGCAGGCACCACACATGCTTGGACTCTACTGCAGGCACCACACATGCTTGGACTCTACTGCAGGCACCACACATGCTTGGACTCTACTGCAGGCACCACACATGCTTGGACTCTACTGCAGGCACCACACATGCTTGGACTCTACTGCAGGCACCACACATGCTTGGACTCTACTGCAGGCACCACACATGCTTGGACTCTACTGCAGGCACCACACATGCTTGGACTCTACTGCAGGCACCACACATGCTTGGACTCTACTGCAGGCACCACACATGCTTGGACTCTACTGCAGGCACCACACATGCTTGGACTCTACTGCAGGCACCACACATGCTTGGACTCTACTGCAGGCACCACACATGCTTGGACTCTACTGCAGGCACCACACATGCTTGGACTCTACTGCAGGCACCACACATGCTTGGACTCTACTGCAGGCACCACACATGCTTGGACTCTACTGCAGGCACCACACATGCTTGGACTCTACTGCAGGCACCACACATGCTTGGACTCTACTGCAGGCACCACACATGCTTGGACTCTACTGCAAGCACCACACATGCTTGGACTCTACTGCAGGCACCACACATGCTTGGACTCTACTGCAGGCACCACACATGCTTGGACTCTCCTGCAAGCACCACACATGCTTGGACTCTACTGCAGGCACCACACATGCTTGGACTCTACTGCAGGCACCACACATGCTTGGACTCTACTGCAGGCACCACACATGCTTGGACTCTACTGCAGGCACCACACATGCTTGGACTCTACTGCAGGCACCACACATGCTTGGACTCTACTGCAGGCACCACACATGCTTGAACTCTACTGCAGGCACCACACATGCTTGGACTCTACTGCAGGCACCACACATGCTTGGACTCTACTGCAGGCACCACACATGCTTGGACTCTACTGCAGGCACCACACATGCTTGGACTCTACTGCAGGCACCACACATGCTTGGACTCTACTGCAGGCACCACACATGCTTGGACTCTACTGCAGGCACCACACATGCTTGAACTCTACTGCAGGCACCACACATGCTTGGACTCTACTGCC